CCCGGCAGGTCCGACCGGCTCCGGCACCGGCTGCTGCCCATGTACAGCTACGACCCGGCCGAAGAGCCGCCGGAGTCGGAGCAGGAGCTGCTGGTGGAGGCTGAGGAGGCTCAGGTGGGTCGCTGTGGTGGGGATTGGCGTTTATCCAGCTTTTCCATGAAAAATTGAAGCAGCAGCGAGTGAGGTGCCCGTCCCGAGGGAGCTCTGGGAACCATGGAACCATTAAGATTGGGAAAGACTTACAAGAACATTGAGTGGAACCTCGAGAGAGTCAGGCTTTGGGTGTAATCCAGCAGGTTTTGGGAGGGTTGGGCTGCGTGGGCAGTGCCTTCCCCACTCGCCTCATGCCCTGGGCTGCAGGTGTGTCCCTCTGTGTTGCAGGTGGTGCCCGGCTGGGGGGGACCCTCACCCCCTCGTCCCCCACGCAGGGACTGGAGGGCCTGACTCTGCCTGGAGCACCGGGACCGGATCCTGCCCGCGGGAGGGGAGAGACGATGCTCTCGGCACTGGTACCATCAGCCAGGACGTGGTGCCACAATTCCACAGCCACTACCCCCACCTGAGCACTGACCAGGACCAGACATCTCCCACCTCAGTGCCTGGTTTTCCTTTTTTTTTTTAAAATTTTTTTCTTTCCTTTTCTTGGGACTTCTCCAGCAGCCCCTTGGAAAGCTCCAGGAGGGCCCACTGGGACTGGCAGGGAGCAGCAGGCTCTGCCGGCACGGGATGCCTGGGGGAAGACAGGGTAAATAAACGTGTTTCTGCCTTGGCCCCAAGGCTCCGTGTGGGGCTGGGGGTTCCCAGCCTGGGGGGCAGCAGGGCTTTGCCTGTTTGTGTTTCCATCGGCAGCTCATCCCCGTGGATGGATGGTGGCCATCACCAGCAGGGATGTCCCTGTGGAGGAGATGCCCTTGGAGGAGCCACCCCTGCCCAACCCCTCTGGGGCCCGGGACAGGCGTCACACACTTCCATAAAATGTTTTATTCAAGTAACTGCAAATAGGAACCCAAAAGGTCGTTAACAGTGAACCAAAAAAAACCCCAAACCAAACCCCGATTCTCTCCCGCCGGGGCCGCCCAGCACCGACCTCCGTTCCCGCTGCAGCCGTCGTGCCGGAGCAGAGGGGCAGGGGGAGCATCCCATGGTCCCCCCACCCCTCTGCCCTGCCAGCCTCGATCCCTTGAAGCAGCAGAGCAAACTAGACCTCAAAATAACAATTAAAAAAAAAAGAAAAATGAAGCCCAAAAAAAAGGGGAAAAAAAAAATACCCCACAGCCCCCAACAACACCCCAAAAACAGGAACCACCGAGCCCACGGTGCCCCGGCAGCGCAGCAGCACGTCTGTGAGTTCAGAGAGTGGAACTTAAATATCCAGAGGTAGTTGTGAATGAAAGGAAAAAAAGTACTAAACAAAAAAATATATATATATACCAGAACCTATGAGGAAAGGGCTGCCTGGAGCCAGTCGTGCTTGGGCACCCCTGGGGACTGACACCCCGGGATGGGCACCCCGGGATGGGCACCCCGGGATGGGCACCCCGGGATGGGCACGGGGTCCCAGCAGCGCCACAGGAGCTGCTCCCGCACACAGTGCAGTTGCCCAGGACTGGGGGGACACGGGGGGTTGCCCAGGGTAGCAGCAGGCCAGAGCAAAGATCTAATGCATTTGGGGGGGGGGGTCTCACCTTCACTGCCCCCCCATCTGTTCCCTGCAGAGGCCCCAGGGCAGAGCCCAGTGCTGGGGGGGCAGCCAGCACCCGCTTTGGCGGGGCGAGATCACTGCATGGGGGGCAGCGAAGGTGGGGGGTGCCAGCCCCGGCTCTCTGCCACGATCCCCCTTTCCAGTGGGGCTGCCCCAAACCCCAGGGCTGGGGAGGGGGAGCTGGGGCAGGTGCCCCCCCGGGCAGGGGCTGCGGGGGCCGCCCGGGTTGGGCCATTTTCCAGTGCTGCCGTTGTCTGAGGGTGAGGAGGGAGCGGAGGAGGGAGGAGGAGGAGGAAGCCAGGGCGGCACAGTGGGTCTCTCCCCATCCCTCTCCCCCGGCAGCTTCGGGGCCGTCGGGCGATGAGGTAGCGCCGGTTTGGGAGGTGTCACTGCTCCTCCTCAGATGACTCCTGGGAAATGTTCACCTCCTCCTCGTCCTGCTGCTGCAAGGCAAGGGAGCGTGGCCGGGGGGTGTCAGGGAGTGCAGCCCCACTTCACTGCCCCTGGACAAAGGGCTGGCCAGGCACGTCACACCCCTTGTGCAACGAGGGAAACTGAGGTACGGCACCCTCCTGGATTAAAGGACTGGCCCTGACTCCAGTTTGGAGATTAAATCCCAGGTGAGAAGCCCCCTGGGCGGGCTCACAGTGAGGAGGGGACATCACAGCCCCTGGGCTCACAACACCTCCGAGCGTGGGACTGCGGAACCCAGCACCACGGCCGGGTCCCCAGTGGCCACTGACGGGTGGTGGCAGCCGTGCCAGTCCCGGGTGTCCCTGTCCAGCCCCCACATTGGGGTGGGCGGCCGTGACCCCGCAAACGGTGGTGACTCAGGGCTGAGTGAGCCTGAGTCACATCGGCCCCCGCTTCCTCCCGCTTCATTCACAAAAACGCCACTGCGCCTGCCAGAGCAGGACATTGTGTCCCCAGCACGGCCCTGCTGGCACACAACAGGCTCCTCCCATGCCACCCCCAGCACTGGGGGTCCCCAAACAGCCCCTGGCACTAGGACAGGGAACAGGAGACCTCAGGACACCACCTCGGGTTTGCAGCACTGCCCTTGGCTCTGTGAGGAATTTCAGTGGGAAAAGGAGCAAAATCCGGGACAGGCAGGAAAGGGAGATTAAACCATCTGGGTACCTGGCACCCACCTGAGCTGCGAACCAAGGGGGGAAAGGGGAAAAAATGGAATGGAGGAAGGAAAACTCAGGGAAGGAAGGCTGCACCTTTGGGCTGTGCAGGGACCATGGCAGGCGTGTGCCAGCATGTCCCCAAGGCAGGACCAGCCACCCAACGCTGCTCCTGGGCCCATGAGGAGATGGGGGGGCAGGATTCCTCAAACCCCCAGCCCTAGGGGGTCCAGAGCCCACCTAGTGCTGTCCTACTCGCTCAACTGCTCTGAGCTCCTCCGACCCAACAGCATCCACCCCACACTCATGGGGCTCTCTGGGGAGCTGCTGTGCCCCCAAAGTGCCCAACGCCCTGCCAAGGTGGATAGGGAAGAGAAAATCGCTCACCGATTTTTTGGGTCTCCCTCGAGGTTTCCTCCCTGGTGTGACTGCAGCTTTCTGAGCCAGGACAACAACAAAAAAGGCATTTTGGTCAGGTTGTCCCCAGGATTCTGGTGGGGGTGGGTGGTGTTCCCCTTCCTCCCACCCCTGACTGCCAGATTCATCACCCCAGTGGCATCTCCTGGGGTGCTGCTGCCAGCCCCCTGAGCCCCCCCTGCCCTGGGATGCCCAGTGAGTCACGAGGTGGGTGCAGGATGTGAGTCTCGTGTTTTGCAAACAGCTTTATCTCGGCTGTCCTGGTGCTGACACACGGCCCCCCCAGCTCCCCCACCTTCCCTGGGCCAGATTCCTCCCCCCGCCCTAGCCCCACCTCTTAGGCAGATCTGCCCTGAATTGTCCATAATTGAGCTCAAACTGGACCTGTGGTGCCAGCAGCCAGCTGGAGCAGCCCCATCCCTGGGTACCTACCCTGCCCTTTGGGGTGGCCTTGTTTTTACTGCCCTTTGGCCGTCCACGGGGTCTCTTGGGGGTCGGGGCCTCACTGGGCTCCTGCTGGAGGAAGAGCAGAGGGGATTGCATGCCCAGAGTGGCTTCCAGTGCACCCCAGGATGCTCCAGCCTGGGAGTCCTGTTGTCCCCAGCAGACCCTGCCAGGGCAGAGATGCTCTTGCATGTGGTACTGGGAGCACTGGTCATGCTGGGATTGGCGATCAGATGCCAGGCACAGGCTTCTGTGTGTCCTTCAACTGGGCATACGTGACCTTTTCCACCCCCCAACGCCACCCACTCAGCTCAGCCGGGTGGTGCCCATAGCCCCTCTCCTGCTCGCTGCTGGTGCCGCGGCCGAGGAAGTGTCAGGGAAGCCACAAATCACTTTTTCTGCAGGAAAAGGCTGTGCACAAACCCCACCTGCCTCGAGGGGGGGCTGAGCGGGGGTTTGGTACTATAAAGGCTCCAGCAGCATCTTATCTCTCTGAGCAGCTTTTGCTAATGGGGCTTTAATTAGCCTGTCTGCAAAGGCAGGTTCAGCAGGGCCTGGGGAGGGGCAGGAGAGACCCCAGGCAGGGCCAGGAGCTCTGGGGTGCTGCAGAGTCCCCCAGGAGTGTCTTGGTGAGCCCTGGGGAGGTGCTGCCCAAAGGGGTAAGGGGGCTGTAAGTGTGGGGGGATTTCCTGTTGCCCCACACCCTGCAGGTACCCAGCCCCCCCTTTCTCATAGGGGACCCCACGTACCTGCGGCTTCTTCCTAGGCCGCCCTCGGCCCCTCTTCTCCGACACGTCTTTCTCCCCTTTGGAGGCCAGGGGCTGGCTAGATTTGGCGCTGGATTCACTCATTGTCTGTCCCAGCAGCGGTGAGGAGGAGTGAGAGGGAGGAAGGACAGTCAGCCACAGCTCTGGCTCGCCATGCCAGCCGTGACATCCCCCAGCCCTCACCCTGGGGCAGGTGAGATGCCCCCTGCATGCTCCTGGCACTGGCTGGGGAGCAAAATGCCCTGGCTGCAGGACAGTGTCCCAAGGCCACAGCACGGCCACCCTGCAGGAGCAGCCAGTGCCCAGTGCTCAGGCAGCTCCTGGGGTCCCCTCAGGTGTTTGGGGAGCAGCAGCTTGGCCAGCCCATCCTGCAGAGCCTGGCCCCTTTTCTCAAAAAGAGGAGAGTTGCTCCAGATTTAATCTGGAATCCCACATGTGCTGCTGGCACCAGTGAGTTGAGACAGGATGAGTGGTGGCACTGGGCACCTTGGGTGTCCCCAGGGGGGTGCCAGGGCCCTGGAGTCCCACAGCCCTGCTCCCCAACTCATCATCGGTTCTGCTGCTCCCCTGCCCCTGCTCCTGCCACCCAGCTGGGATAAGGGACAGGCACTTGGCCTGGGGACATTGGGTTGTCACCTCCCTCATCCACGAGGATGTGCATGTCCCAAAGGGCTGGGCAGCTCTCCCATTCTCTTGGAGCAATCCCACAAAGGAAAAGGCTCCATCTTCCCCTCTCCACCTCGCTGCTTCCCAGGGGCACAGGGAAAACCTGCTTTTCCAGAGCCGTGGGGGTGGCTCCATGCCCGGCTGCCAGCCCAGGAGCCAGGAGGACGGACCCAGGCTGGGAAGGAGCAGGACTGCTGCCACAGTCCTGGTGCTTGCTGGGGACCCCACGCAGGTGGGGTGGCTGTGGCCATGCTGGGGACACCTGCCCAGAGTGGGGATGTGAGGCTTCCCAGCAGGAGCAGAGGCAGGTCTGAGGTTGTGTGCCTGGTCCGTGTGTGCTGATGGAGGCACCCTGTAACCTCTGGGATAATAATGCTCAGTTTTGAGGAACTGGTCCCGATTTGATGCTGTTGGAACAGCTGGGATAGCGGGGCTGTGGGGGGCAGAGGGTGCTGAGCCCCCTGGGACACTGAGCCTCACTGGGGAGGGTGTGGGCAGCACATGCAGCCTGAGGAGCCACTCTCAGACCTCTGAGCCTTTTCAAAAAACAGGCGTCAGCTCCTGCTCCCCTCTGGAAGTGACTCATGAGTGCAGAACAACAACAACAAAAACCACCCTCAGAGTCTTTTTTTTTTTTGGGAGACAGAAACCATGCCGTAGTGTAAACACCCCGAAAATATTACTCACAGCATCCCAGAGCCCTTCAAGGAGTCTCTTAGGAAAAAAAAGAAGTATGGTTTAGATTTAGGCCAGCAAAGGGCCGGCTGCTGGTCGGGCTGGGACGGGGTTTTGTCTCTTTTTAAGTCAATCTTTGTCAGAGGCAGAGCTGCTCCGTGCCCCCTCCTGCAGCTGGAAACAGATGGGCCCAGCACGACCCCCACCCTGCCGTGCTCTCCTCCTCTGGAGGAGGGACCAGACCCCACAGCAGCTCCAGCTGGGAATGCCAAGGGGACCCTCCATGGGACGGGGATGCCGCTGGCTCTGCCCTCTCCACCAAGAGCAGCTGCTGCTGCAAAGTTGTTGGTGCGGGGGAAACACGTGCACCTCCCACCCATCTCTCTGCATCCCACCCTCCATCCCCTCCAGCACCTCAGAGCTCTCCCCGGGGGCTCCAGAACTGAGGGGACTCAGGGGGCTCTGGCCCTGCTCTGGCAGAGGGGGTTGGGAGGAGGATGCTGGAAATGAGGAACGCTTCTCTGCCAGCCCAGCACCTTCCTGGCCAAGCCCCTGGTCCCCAGAGCAGCCCCAGCTCCCCGCAATGCCCCCAGCTCGGCGGCACCTGCCAGGCCCTGGGTGAGCTCCGAGCCTGTGGGACGATGCCGGGCACATGGCGGGAGCAGCTCCAGCCCTGCTCATGCATCAGAGACATGGAGGGAGGGAGGGAGCAGCTGGGTTGCCATGGAGGAGAGGAAGCAGCTGAGGGAGAAACCTTTCCAGGCAGGGAGGAATCAGTGGGGGACGCGGGCAGGGGCTGCCGGGCTCCCTGCGGCCGAGGGAGGGGGGAAAAAACATCTCTGCAAGGGTTTGGAGGTGGAGGGGCCACATCTGCCTCTCGATTGATGGAGCTGGAGGAAGGGAACCTCCTCCTCTCTCCATCCCTATGGATGCTGAGCCACCGGGCCCTCCTCCCCCAGCCCCCTTGCTTTCTCTGCTCCACAACGTGAGCTGGCCTGTCCCCAGCAGCCACCTCTGGGTTGCACAAGGGCCAACCTGTCCCCTCGGAGCGATGCTCCTGGCTGTTCCTGGGCCTGGTCCTTCCTTCCCAGCCGCCTGCGCTAGCTTATGCTGCTCTGTGCAGATAACCCCATAAATCCCCCGCTCCTGCCACCTACTCTTAGATTAAACAAACTGGCCCAGGGGAAGAGGGGAGACAGGCGGGGGCTTAGATCTTAAAAAATAATAATTATAAAAAAAATTTAAAAAAAAAAAATATATAAATATATATATATATATATTTTTTTTTTTTTTT